CAGGCTGTCAGCTCGTAGATAGCTGCTTTATTAATTAATTATTTGTGCCTGTTTTCGGAGATCACAGCAGCCGCTTCCGAATAAAACGGTCGTTTGCTACAACATGCTGCTGCCAGTGCAGCTGGGGGTAGCGCAGGTGGGAAATTCAGTACAAGTAGTTCCTCTGAGATGGTATCAGCAAGTCAGAGTTTACCAGACTTAATTTTCTTGTTGCTGTTCAAAACCAGCAGTGGAATTGTCAAGTATCCCGTTGCTTACTGTCAGGTAAGAGGTTCGGAAAACTTGTTAGAAAGTAGTGTAACAGAGCTCCCCCTCCACAGACAGAGGGGCTCAAGGTAAAGTTTTAATGGTAGAAGAGAGCACTGTGGGAAGGGATGTGGAGAAATTAACATGTAGAACATTTAGCTTTGCTCCTTAGCTAGCATTCAAAATGCAGTAGAATACTCTGCTGGGAATTTCACCCTCAGCTGAGAAAGTGGTTGTGTCCGAATTTGTTACTGCATGTTGTTCCTGAGGCTCACCAGTGACTTCCTTCTGCCTTTGTGTTGCTCCTGAGCAGTAGAGTAACTTGGTAAACTCATGTGTATGCTCCTTGAAACTGGTGCTGTTGTATTAAAAAGGCTTCTGGAACCTGGGAAGAGATTGATTTTGTTGTACAGGTAAGCATGTTATAGCAGATTGCTTTAAGTAGCTTGCTAAACTGCTGCTGCCTCCATTTCCAGTTGCTTTACAAGAACCAATGAAGAACACTTCTTTATTTGTAAGGACAGTAAGAGTGAAATCAGTCCAAGAGGGTTCTTCCTCTTAGTACAAACAACTGAGCTCTGCAGGCTGAGGGAGTGTTTTAAGGATTGTAGAATATAGTTGTCTCGGGTTTGTGTTTTCTTGCTCTGAGGAGAGGGTAAAAAACCCTATCGAGGGGTTTATCATGGAACGGATACGTGGTCACATCTAGTCTATCCTGCAAAGCTGAGATGTTGGAGTTGTGTGGAAGCCCTTGATGTCATTGTTTCTGTGACTGGCACCAGCCCACAGGCTGTAGTATTTTAGATTTCCGGGATGTATTTGACACTGATGAGAAGTTGGTTTGTGGGTGGCAGGTCAATAGATTTCCCTTCTTAATGTCTGTAGAACCCTGACTGGCATAGACCAGGCTTTGATCTGCCCATTAAGTTTTTCTGCTCTCAGTGTGGGGCTTGTGAACGCATGCTTTGAATGCTTTGTGGGCAAACTGAACCTCTGTTGAAACGCAAAATCTTATTTTCTAGATAAATTATATCTCTGAATCCTTTTTCATTCATTTGTGCTTCAGCAGCTACCATATGGTGTGTCCAAGTTTCACTTGAAGCATTAATGCCGCCCTTCTACTGAGAGCGAAGGGTGAAATAAAGAGTTTTCCTAAGAGTTTGAAAATAAAATAACAAAATACTGCATGAAGATGCAAAGAAAAGCATAGATGTCATAGTCTCTCCTTATATGAAAGTATAAGAAATGGGTTTAAAGTAGCTGTGGGCTGATCCAACCTTGCCATCTGATGTGTTTGTTTTCACTAGTAACATTGCAAAACTTGCTTGTTCACCTCATGTTTTAGTAATTTCACAGTTCCCCCTCAAATATGAGGAGAAAAAGATGTAATAGCAAGAGTGGTGTGGTACAAAACTGTGCATTGGAGTGTTCTGTCAACTGAGTTCTGTTTGTTTAAAATTAGTTCTCTCTGGATTCTTGTCCTTAGGCAAAGGTCTTGGTTTTTAGCTTCAGTGTCTACCTGATACCCAGCACTGGTCTGTTTTGCTGCTAAGTGTACAGGTGATTGCTGTTAGCGTGGTTCAGCTGTGTTTTAGCTCAGAGTTTGTAAAATGCTAAGCTGAAATTCAGCTCTGTGCTGCTGAAGTGCCGTTGGAGCTTTGGTCAGCTAAAATAAGGCATTGCCATCCTGTTGTCTTCTGAGGACTTTGCTCTCATTTAAGTGGTGTAATTATGTCATGGTTAATTGGCAGGTTATTTTGATCAGATCATTTCAGATTACTTCTCTCTAGGATAGTACTTTTTATGGTACATCAAGTTTGATAAGCAGGTAGCAAACCAAGAGATTCAAGCATAAGCTTCCTCCTGAGCAGCAGTGACTTCTTGCCTGTGAGGCATGTGTGAGATGTTCTGTTCTTAGAGGCCAGATGTACTCAGCTATGTAGCTGAACTTGAAATACCAAGTTCAGGGCTAGGAAACTGAAGCCTTGCTTGTGAAGAAATCAGCAATTAAACAGGAGATGTTTCAGAATGAGATGTGATTGTGAAAATGTAGCTAGGGTTTTTAGTAGTATTGTGTCACAGGATCGTGAATCCTTTGAAGTGGCTGGTTAAAAGCATTATGTTTATGAGCTTGGTTCTGGTTTATAGGCTTAGCTGAATAAAAATACCTTGTACTTCTGTTAGTACAAAGATGTGAAATGCAAAGGTGTGCGAGTTAACTCTTTGTACATGCTCAACATAACTTTTTGTATTAAACATTTCTATCAAGGTCAAAGATAATAAAGCTCAGTGGTTCCCCTCAGTAAGAAAAATAAGAACTTTTTCTAACTGTCTTCATTGTTTTCACAAATACTTTGACAAACAATGTTAAACTGGTGTTTTGTGTAGGAGGACAGTGTATGGAAGGAAAAACATATTTTAAAAAGTCTGGTTCTAAGGATGCTTTCTTAACTAAAGAAAATATGTGAAACCTGGAAGAACTAGAGTAGCTGCAGTGTGAGATGGGTGCAGCAGTAATGAGCAATGCCTGGTATGGCTTTTAGAACTAACTCAGCCTTTAATGGAAGAGCTTTTTAGTGTTCTTCTGCGAGCACCTTCTTTGTAGTCCCAGGTGTTGGTGGATGGATACTGCTGATTCACTGGTATAGATGATGTTCTGTCTCCACCTAAGCATAACTACAGTTGACTTCATAGGAAGGCAGTGCAACTGCCTTAAAACTTGCTAAAGACTGCAGATTTCCAGCCAAGCTGTTTCCTCTTGTCATTGATTCAATACTATGGAAAACAGGTTATTTTGATTTTTATTTCATGCTGTTATAATGTTATATGGTTTCTATGAAATACCTTGAATTTCTGCTTGAAGCAAATATGCTGAAATACACTTTCTTTTAATTTTTCTTCTTCAGGCCTTTGCACAATTTGATGCTGAAGGAGATGGCACCGTAGACGTGGAGAATATGCTAGAGGCTCTCAAGAATTCTAGTGGAGCTAATCTCCAAGGGGAACTTAGCCATGTAATCAGGCAACTGCAAGCTTGTTCCCTAGTTCCAGGTATGAGAACAGAGTGACCAAACAGATGGTTTCCAAAGTCCTGCCCTGTGTAAGGGATGTTGCTTCAATAAATTGCTTTAATAGTGTTCTTGTCCTAATCTTATCAAAACCACACTCCAGGTCATTCTCACTTCTTTAGTATCAAACAAGTGAAGTTGCTGTAACTTAAAAATTTCCCATGACTGCATCCAGTTAACTTGCTTTCATACATAACCAATATTTTCCTGTCTGTGTGACTGAGGAGCTTCTTATCATTGTCTGTTTTATCTCATAGACAGAAAACAGTTCCATGCAAAATGTTGGTGTCTAATGCAGTCTTGTACTTGGAGGAATAAATCCTCTTTTGAGTCTGTTTCAGGTGATGAGTCATGGACTTTCTTATTAATATATTGTTATTTGAAATCCTGCTAAAACATAATTCATGTTTTATGGTGTGTAGTTTGGAAAGTGTCAGTTCCCAGAATTTGATTTCTGGGATAAGTATCAGTTACTGGCTTTCCTTCCAAGCTTTTGATGATAAGTGGCTAAAGAGGATTTGCCTTAGAGGATCAGACAAGAAGTGCTAGAATTGGCTATAGATAAGTCAGAGGAGAGTAGTTAAGGGGTTCTGTTTTGTGCATCTAAATGCACTGTGATCCAGATTACTACTGTTAAGGAAATGAAATTTCCTACAAACTTGGTGGGAAGCATTAGGCACCTCATTGGGAATAATCCCCAGTGCCAGAGGGAGATGCTTAGTGTAGCTCAAGGTGCCAAGCAGCAGCTGTTTCGCTTAGATATTGAAGGCAAGGGTTTGGGACTTTTGGGACAGCAAAATAAGTATAAGAACTAAGATTTTTTTGGTAATTGTTTTGAACACTTCCAGGTATTTCAGGTAACTGGAAAAAATATTTGCCTGCACCTCATGCAGTCCTGCTGTAAAGGTTGCAGACTTGAGCTACTTCCTATGGTAGAATGTAGTTCCGGTGTTGGCCCCCATGCTTAATTTGGATTTCCTTAGTAATAAGATGTAAAGAGGGAGGAAAAATGTTGACTTGGTCAAGTCAGGTGTTGCAACACAGCTGAAATAATCTCTCTTTCTAGGTTTTATTGATATATTTTCTGAATCGAAAGAGCGTCTTGGTCTTCATGCCTCAATGATCCTGAGGTTCTTGCACCGGAATCGCATTTCTAGTACTGCCATCCCTTACCCAGTGCTGGAGTACTTCAACAATATCTGCACTATGAGGTCTTCTGTGCTGAAGGATTCTTTAGACCGACTTCTCCTAAAAGAGAGGGGTGTGTAAATCTTTCTTTTTCATTTCAGTGTGTAACCATAGATTGAAGAAAAGATTACAGATAAAATAAAAAGCTTTCTTTACTGCTGAATCTTTACCAGGCACGACTTTCTATGGAGTTGATGTGCATGCTTCTGTGGGTGTTTTTGTTGTTCTTTTAAGGCACATAAATTGATTTCCAAACTACCTCGCAGTCTGAGTAACACACTGGGATGTTTTTCATTTTTCTCCTGACCTGTTTCAGAATGACAGTTGTTGTGATATTCTCTATTCAGTCAAACCTCTCTGCTAGTTGCTAGAAACTCAGGGAGGTGAATGTTCTCTGAAATGGACTGTTCCGTATTAGAAGTAATGTATTGCTTTGGGGTGGAGGTAGTGAATCTTTTACTGTATTTCAGGGAGGACTCTCCTGGTGGTCTCCCTGGGGGGATGGCTCCTTCTCTTTACAGCTTGACTTGATATTTTTCAGATCTCTGTACTTCTGTTGAAATAGGTGAAGTTACTTGGGGAAGCAGTGTGCTTTGTCCTTTCCCTAGAGTAGCTGAATTGAGGTTTCCTTCATGATATTTTACTTTTTCCTCTCATTTGTTTGTATTTTGGCATAATAATAAAGCTCTGATGAGGCCAGTAATGAAAGGATATGGTAAAGGCTATTGAACTCCAGGCAAAGTAGGTGTTTTCATACTGGTTGAGATGATTGTGATATCAGCTGAAATTAAACTTTGCTGTCTTCTACTTTCTTCCAGAAACAGTTCTTTGGGACCTGTGTTCTGTGCCAACAATTTAACTTGTATGTGTTAGTTATTATAAAGGTATAATAATGCTTAAAACAAGCTAAAGAAGAATCTTATAAATGATTTATGTTCTTTGCAGAATACCCCAGTGATTTGAATGGTAATCAGGAGTCAGACAAACTGAAGTCTGTCACAAAGTGCTACACTCACATAGAAACCTCATCCAATTCTGCTGATATTGACAAGATGACAAATGGAGAAACGACATCCTTCTGGCAGTCGGATGGGAGTGCTCGCTCCCACTGGATACGGTGAGCGACACGCCAGCATGCACCTGAGGTTTGGGGTTGTTAATCCTCAGATATACAGGTCGTGGGGTATTGTGGTGGCTTGACCAAAGCCACTCTGTTACTCCCCTCCTCAGCTGGACAGGGGAGAGAAGACATAATTAAAGGCTTATGGATTGAGATAAGGGCAGGGAGAGATCACTCACCAACAGCTGTCATGGGCAAAACAGACTCGAGTTGGGGAAATTGGTTAAATTTTATTACCCAGCAAATCAGAGTAGGATAATGAGAAATAAAACCGAATTTTAAAACCCTTTCCCCCCACCCCTCCCTTCTTCCTGGGCTCAACTTCACTCCCGAATTCTCCACCTCCTCCCTCCAGTGGTGCAGGGGGATGGGGAATTGGGGTTGTGGTCAGTTCATCACACACTGTTTCTGCTGCTCCTTCCACAGGGGAGGAGGACTCACACTCTTGCCCTGCACCAGTGGGAGGTCCCCTCCATGGGAGACAGTCCTCCACCAACTTCTCCAGCGTGAGTCCTTCTCACAGCTGCAGTTATTCATGACCTGCTCCAGTGTGGCTCTAGTGGTTTAAACCCAGGCAGTAACTCAACACCACACAGCAGCTCCCTCCCTCCCATTTCCCCCCTGGCTTCCAGCAGGATGGGGGCGAGAGTCGAAAGAATGTAAATCCCATGGGTTGAGATAAAAACAGTCCAACCACTAAACTGTAATACAAACCCACTCCTGCTAATAATAATGATAAGGGAAATGACAAGGGGAGATATTGCAAAACTAAAAAGGGAAAGGAAAAAAACCACAATAAACACAAGTGGTGCCCAACACAATTGCTCAGCACCCTCTGACCGATAACCAGCCCAACCTCAGCAGCGATCTGGGCCTTCTGGGTAACTCCCCCCAGTTTCTGTACTGGGCATGACGTGCTGTGGGATGGAATAGCCCTTTTGCCAGTTTGGGTCAGGTGTCCTGTCTCTGCTTCCTCCCAGCTTTCTGTGCCCATCCTCACTCGCAGAGCATGAGACTGAAAAGTCTTTCACCAGTATAAATGCTACTGAGCAACAACTAAAACACTGGTTTGTTATCAGCATTGTTCTCAGACTAAAGCTGAAACACAGCACTGCACCAGCTACTAAGGAGAAAAATAACTGTTACAGCTGAACCAAGGACAGTGGGGTCCCTCCCATGGGGTACAGTCATTCAGGAACAGATGGCTCCAGCATGGGTCCCCCATGGGGCTATAGGTCCTGCCAGCAAACCTGTTCCAGCATGGGCTCATCTCACCATGGGGCCACAGGTCCTGACAGGAGCCTGCTCCAGTGCAGGATTCTCACAGGGTCGGAGCTTCCTTTGGGCATTCCCCTTTTCCCATGTGGGGTCCTCTGCAAGGCTACAGGTGGATATCTGCTCCACTGTGGGCCTCCATGGGCTGCAGGGGATATCTGCTCCATCATGGACCCCCATGAGGCGCAGGGGGACAGCTTGCTTCACCGAGAAATGAATTCTCAGTTGAAAAACCAAACAATAGAAAATCCTACAGTCTCACTTTCAGAGGTGACTGTCTTTTAAGTCAAGTAAAGTTTTCTAACTCGTCCACCCTGATACACTTGTGAAGCACTAGGTAATTTGCTTTGGATTTATCTGTGTTTGTACAAGTGGAAACTGAGTGAAGCTTAGCTAAAAGTGAAGTGCTAGACTCTACCTTCTCTTTGCAAGAACTGTTTTACCTTTGCTTTGCAGTTTAAAGATGAAACCAGATGTTGTCCTGAGACATCTGTCCATTGCGGTGGCAGCTAGTGACCAGAGTTACATGCCACAGCAAGTGACAGTGGCAGTGGGAAGGAATGCCAGCAGTCTTCAGGAGGTCCGAGATGTTCACATTCCAAGCAATATCACTGGCTACGTAACACTGTTGGAAAACGCTAACATTAGTCAGATGTGTGAGTCAATAAAGATACTGTTGGTATATTGTTTTGGTGCTTTTTTGAAGGTGAAAGTTTGGGAAGAGCATAGAATGATGTGTTGAAATCATTAGGGTAGGAACTTTAAATCTCGCCCTTGGATCAGAGAAATTGTTCTACTGGTAGTTTAGTCTCTGGCCTTTAAGAGGGTCTTGTGAGTCTTTCTCATGGCATCTGTCTGTAACTTGGGCTAAGGGTTGAAGAGCTGAGTGACTGAAGATGCAGTTTTAGCCTCTCAGTTTGAAGACACTGGGCAATTTAAAAATATCTTTGCTTGCAGAGTGGGAGCATATGTTGGATGATCATATCTAGCAAAAAATCTGCTTCCAAGCAACTCTTTCTTTTCTTGGTAGCAAAACTCTGAAGCTGGTCAGATGACTTTTTGTAAAGCAGGTTTCATGCGAAGGGTTTTTAAGCTGTGTTATTTTTAAGTCTGGTAGATCTGTGGGTGCTCAGTTGGAATCAGTCAAGGGAAAGCTGCTCCTTCCTAAGATCATAGAATCCCAGACTGATTTGGGTTGGAAGGGACCTGAAAGCTCATCCCATTCCAACCCCCTGCCACGGGCAGGGGCACCTTCCACTAGAGCAGGTTGCTCCAAGCCCCTGTGTCCAACCTGGCCTTGAACACTGCCAGGGATGGGGCAGCCCAAGCTTCTCTGGGCACCTTGTGCCAGGGCTTCACCTTCATAGTCAACAACTTCTTCCTAATATCTAATCTAAATCTCCCCTCTTTCAGCTTAAAGCCAGAAAGATGGTTTCTGCGGGTTCACAAATGCTGTCCCTTCACTTCAGATAGGTGCTTTTCACTAAGATGAACCTGCACTGCCACAGGCACAAGTGTCAAGGATGTTGTTCCTCAGAAGTAACTAGGAATCTATGCAAAATGGTCAAGAACTTACTTCAAGATTTTTATGTAACTTAAAACTTTGCTTTTAGGCTTTACTCTTTTTCCCCTAATTCTCCACTACCACTCCCAAGATGTTTCCTGTGTATGTAGGTAGACTGGTACCGGTGAAATAATCTGTAATCTATTTTCCACTTTGAGGGGGTTTTTTTGCTGCTTTTCTCCTACTTTGTAACTGAACAATATGTAATGGATCACATAAGCTGTTCAGGGGCTAAATTTTCCCAGTCGTAGGGTGTACAGTGAAGAAACACATATGTGGAGTTGTCTCTGTGTGGGAGTACTGTTACATATCTGCTGCTATTTTCCTCAGAGATTTTGCAATAATTCTGGTTTTGAATATCTGGATTCTTCTAGATCTCACCCAGCAGAAGAAATGGGGGGAAAAAAGTCTTATTTTGTGTTTTGACAGATGTACAGATAAATATCAAGCGTTGCCTTAGTGATGGATGTGACACCAGAATCCACGGGCTCAGGGCTGTTGGGTACCAACGGGTTAAGAAGGTGGGCGTCTCCGTATGTGATGCTTCTGCGATCTGGTACTGGTCGCTGCTGACCTCTCTGGTGACAGCTTCCATGGAAACAAACCCAGCATTTGTTCACACTATTTTGCAAAATACTCAGTAAGTATCAAACTTCCATGGCATGCGAGAGCCTTATTTTTAGTTTGGTTTGGGTTTTTTAAATACTTAAAGCTTCAGTAAACTAATCTACCTCGTGTAACTGGTTTCCACTCCCTCCAGTAAGGTGTTCAATCATCTTTTTAGCTATCACACTTTAAATTTTGATACTTCACCTTTATCCATTTGTACATAGTAGAACAGGTATGGTTGTCCTCACTGTTGTATCTAATCTAGTTGCTAAGCTGTGACTGAACAGGCACTGAAAAATACCTTTTTTTACCTATCCTTTGAATTGTAATACTTTCGAGAACCTTAAAATTATTGTTAATTTTAGTGATTATTATAAATATTGGACAACTTCTATTTATGGAATGGAGCTCATGGAATGGAGCTTAATTTAGCTTAATTTTTAGCACGTTTTTGCTTGCGTAATGCCTTGACGTGCATTACATGGGGATATAGTCAGATAAATGCAGTATCTCTGTAGCTGTTTGCTTGTGGTGATTGGCTGTTTTCTGAGTAATGTTTCCTTGTGTGATTGCCAAACACTTCTGCCCAGTGATTTGAAGGATTGGAATCCTAATAAAATCACTACACACCCAAATCAACTTTTATAGAGCTTAGCATGATTCCACCATGCTCAGGAGCACTGCTGTCATTAGGTTAATAAGTACTGCAGGCTAAGGTCCATTAAGCCTGTCTTTTAATTTGTGTCATCTATGGAACCTCTTTAGTGCTTAGATAACTTTCTACATGCTTATGTCTGAGGAAGGTCCACAGGTGCAAGCATTAGTAAAACTGGGAGCCTTCACTTTTGCTTCAGTTTAGATGGTTTTTAGAAATATAACATGAATACTGAGGTAGTAAAGACTGGAGAAATCTTGATGAAAAGTATGTTTTCAGGAATTACAAATTCACTATTTGGAATTATAAAGCAAAACCTCAAACTTTAGTATTGGATGGAATGATGTTGATGAAACTGTTTAATAATCTCTATTTTCAGGGGTTATTACATTACCTTAGTAAATCAAAACAGAAACTCATCTGAGCTCTCGTAGTTTCTGTAACTGTTATGAAAGAATTTAAAAGCAATTTTCCCTTCATTAACAGGCTCTTGCTCAGTGCTGGAACTGTTTGAAATAAAGCAGTACTTGGACACTATTTCTAATGTTGTCACAGATGTGATTCAAAACCCTTTGATTTATTTGTCTCATTGAATCTGAGATGATGAGACTAGATTCAGGATTCCCCAGCAGCTGTTAAACTTTCCCTGCCTAGAATGCAGTAGTGGCTTTGCCTTCTGAAGTGTCTCTCTGTGTTAGTAGATTTCCTGCACTCAGAACCTGTTTGTAGAGACCTGCTCACAAAAAGCAGGTCTTTACAAAAATATTCATTTCAGTAGGCTGTTTTCTCTGATTCTGGTTTTCTGATGTTATGTTCTGTCCTGTTACTAGGAAAGCACTGCAACACATGCCACCTCTATCCCTAACACCGGGCTCTACAGATTTTTCAAGCTTCTTATCTCCAAATGTTTTGGAAGAAGTCGATAGTTTCCTTATAAGAATAACAAGGTGAGTTTGTGTTGATGCTTTGGAAGATGGTTTAGAAGAATTTGTATAGCAAATTTCTCTCATCTTCACTCACCTGCTCTTGAAAAATTGGAAGATGTTAAGAAACAAGCAGTGTAGATTCTTCCATGTGAGCATCATCTATCTTTATTTAAAAACAGTGTCCTGAGTTTTCTTTTCATACTGTTGGTTTTTTCCCTCCCCAGTTGTTGTACTACTCCAGAGGTTGAACTTACACTCTTGGCCTTTGCCTTAGCCCGGGGGAGTGTTGCAAAAGTGATAAGTTCCCTTTGTACAATCACTGATCATCTGGAAACTCCATACAAGGCTTCATCACTTATTGCTTCCATGGCAGTGGTCAGACAGAACCTGCTGTATAAATACGGTAAATGAATAATTGCTGGACCCTTTTCTGTACATGCTTCAGACAATATGCAGCTTTGAGTTGTTTTACTTGTTCTCCTGGGATTTAAAATTATACAAGACTTCTAAATTAACAACTGTTACCAAGAAGATACCCTTTGAAGCTGAATGGCCCCTAAAGCTTGATGATTAGATCAGCTTTATGTGACCTAAGAGTTGAACCAGGTGGCATCATCTTGAGGAAGAAAACATGAACTTTTGTAGGTAATGGCCCATGTATCAAGATGGTGATAGTGTTTGTATTGTGTAAAAGGCAGATGACTTCAATTATTGTTATTCTTCCAATAAAATGCTTTTTTGCATGTTTAGCCTCAGTAAGTGGTCCCTCTTGCAGACATGTGCACAAACATGAGATGTGTTTTTAAATGGACTGTCATTAGCATCTCTTTAGAGTTCTTTTATTTTCACTTTTATAAATTAATCTGAGTAAGTCAGAAGTATGGAGCTGTGTGTGGTCTGGCACAAGGTAGGATTTGGCTGCATTGACTGTGCTTGTTTGATAAATCTATCTTTTGTCAGGTGTCAACTTTATGTTTTGTCAGGACTTCCTGCCTTGTGCCAAAGGACACATGAATTAGTTTAATTATGATATCAGTATTTATTCTCAAAAGCTTTGAAATTTGCTTTGTTTTTCCTAGAGTAGCTGCTGCTTTTTGCAAGCCAACAGTGGTATTTCATGTACTTGGAATTCCAAAGTGTGCAGACAGTTGAAGGAACATTAATTGTCATGATTTTCATTCTCCTTCTCCCTGTATCTAAAACTTGAGATATTTTAGGTTAATGTGTATCTTATGCTCCAGTTTGCCCCCCCCCCCCTCCCACTGCATCTTTCTTGT